AAAAAAAAAAAAAAAGAAAAAGAAGAAGAAGAGGAACTGGAACGAGGCTGAGATTTACACGCCACGTGGATTGGCGGTGATGGGGCTGGAATGGGAGTGAGGGTGGGAGAGGGATCAGCATCGAATGGGGGAAGGACGCGGTCAAAATGTGGGAGGAAAGTGGGTGCTATGTTGGTAGAATGCAGGTGCGACGCCGGAAGGACAAGACGGGTGTAGTCAAACATACGGGTCGTCGGGATGACTCCTTCACACAGTGCAAGCACCGTCTCTTAACGCAAAAGGATAAAATAAAATGGAGAGGAAAAATTTCAATACAAAAACGATAAGATTAGGATGAGGAATTGTCTTTGTTCTTCTCCTGGTTTGCAGTCGTTCCCAAGTCAAAGCCAGAATCGTCGTCACAGTGACTCTCCTCTGGACCAAATTCCAATTCATCTAAGAAGTCATCCAACGCAGACCAATCGAACGGTTCCTTTCTCACATTGCCTCCTGTTTGATCATTCGTCTTCGTCTCATCCGCCTCCTCTTTAATCGTAACTCCATCCTCCTTCTCCCAATCGTTCTCATCCTCCCCCAGATCCGCATCCAGATCCTCCCCAACGTTCCTATCACCCTTAGATTCCCCCTTAATCATTTTCATATTGGTAACTTTATCCAGATTCTTATCCTCCTTTCTCTTCGGAATCCCTACAACATTCGATTTACTGCTGAATTTGTTATTATTCACAACAACGATGTCCTGCCCTAGGCCGAAAAAATCTGCATCAGGGATAGTACTTTGAGCGACAACATCCGTACCGCACAATGCCATCCGCTTCTGCTCGCTCCTTCCCCTCCATGGCACTCGGCTATCCTTGAAGAAGTAATTACCTCCTTCCTCTCGAAGATAAGAGTTCGATCCCCTCGCATTCCAATTTACTCCCCCCATCACCATCTTTCTCCTCACTACACTCCTTTCCTCCTCCTCCTCCTCCTCCTCCTCCTCCTCCTCCTCCTCCTTCCTACGCTCTTCAGACTTCATCGCGCCGTATGAGTAGTGAACCTTCTTCGTGGGACACGTGGCAGGCGCAGGCATCGCAGATAGATTGACGCGGGGCGATATACACGGTCGAGATCTCGATAGCGAAGCACCTTGATCTTCCCCCTCCCCTCTCCAGGTACTCCCTACCTGGAGAGGAATGGACTCCAGCGAGGATCTCCTCTGCGACAGGTTCCAGCAGCGTTGATGAGATTGGCTCCCGTGCGGCCACGTGTCACGATTTGGTAAGAAGCCCTGCAACAGGTTGAAGATAGGCAATCTGTTGATATCAACAAATCCCAGTAAGGTTGATGGGATTCGCTCTCCAGCTGCATTGCCGTCATCAGCCAAATAGGACGTACTGTCACTTTCGCCGCATTCGGACTGAAAGTTGGGCCAAACGTGGACATAAGGACCGGCGTACGTTCTATTCGGGGAAAGACGGGTCTCCGGCGGCAAGTGTCCCTCAATAGAAGGCCCAGGGGGAAGAGGAGTAGACATCATCATCATCATCATCACAGCCATCCCTGCCAAGAAGTCGCCCTCGGATCCGTATCCCGATCTCGGGATACCGTCCTGTAGTTTTTGCCGAGAGGACCACCACCCATCACAAGTTCCTCTGCGCGCCGATTGCATCCGCGCCATGCCCCTCGGATCGGTATCCCAACACCTGCCATCTTCTATCCGCTGTGCTGAATCTTGCCACGTGGACGACAACGGCGACGATGATGACGTGGTAAGGAGACGACCACGCTCCCCTGCGTGGGATCGGGATCCCAGCACCACCGCCGCCACTCGTTTCGACGCCCTGTCTTTCCATCCCGATGCAAAATGATACCTCGATGGAAGAAGGGATCTCAACATTGCAAGTGGGACGATTAAAAACAGAAAAAAAAAACAAAAAAAAAAACAGAAGGTGTGACGATTGTTCTCTGGACTAAGATCCCAGTCACTTCAACGGAAGGCAGATGCACTCTCCGACTTCGCTAGACGTATTTAACCCATTAAAACGACCAAATTCCGTCCATTCAACACGTCTCCAGTTTTGAACACCGCACTCTCTATCCGCACTGCGATCCCTGTCACCCTAAGGAGAGTCGGATTCACATTCGGACATCGCCAGACGTACCTGACCATAAAAAGAACCAGATTCCGTCGATTTACATCGTCTCCAGCCTGAACACCGCACTGTGCATCTGTACCATGATCCCTGTTACAGTGACTCTAAGGGCAGTCAGATTCACACTCTGAGTTCGCAAGACGTACCTAGAAAGCAGCCTTTCCACCGTGAGTGTTAATTGATTTTCATTTGATTGAAGTCGATACAATTTGCATTTGAATGAAGTCGATGATACATAGATACATCTGGCGCCGATCGCGATTGTTCTGTACGAAAGTGGTTTTCTTCGTTTTCAAAAGATATGTTCTTCTCTCAATTTCAGCTCACACTACCTACCTACCACTACTCCTACTTGTAGGCATACGGGGAGCCCCGTAGCAGCCAGAACCGTGTTCACGAGAGAACATGCGGGGGCTGCTCCCGACCTGCAGGTGGGCGATACCGGCTAGGGGACAGCCAGTAGCATCAGGGACCATGCCAACAGGACCAATCCCTTTGCCTCCCCTCAGGTGGTGGTCCCCTCCCCTACGAACATCAGCAGACTCTGCTCAATGCCGATAGGGGGATCCAGTGGCGATGGGGATTGAACACAGTTCCCCGCCGGGTTGTTTGTTAAAAAAAAAAAAAAACGAAGAGACTTCGAAGATTGTCCCCTCTAGATAGTCTTAGGAGAAGGTAGTGAAAGGCAATAAAAACATAGGGTTAATTTCAAAAATATTGCTGTTTCGAAGTTTGGCAGCAAAAATGTCGTCCGTTCGAAGTTTCCTTCGCAAAAATCGATGTTTCGTTGCAGCTTTATCAGGTTCCCCTAGTTTGCCAGCAAAAATACCCCGTTTCGCCAAGTTTCACAGCGAAGGACCCCTAGCCCCTTGCCTCAGGGACTCAGGGACTCAGCGTTCCGGCCTCAGGCACTCAGCTTTTCTCTTTTTTTTTTATTTCCACGGGCGTGGCCGAGACATCTCGGCCGTGGCCACGCCGAGATGCCTCGGCCACGTTTTTTTTTTTTTTTTTTTTTTTTTTTTTTTTTTTTTTTTTTTTTTTTTGCGGGCATTGCCCGCACCGCCTGCACCGCGGGCGCTTAGCTAGTAATAATATAGAGGTCTATTGCATAATCGCGGGTACCATCCCCGCGTGTGAAGAGTATGAGAATTTCCACGCCGCGATTCCCCACATCCTTTGTACCCTCTATCCTGATTACCTTGCCTCAATCCCTCATCAAGACCTGGTCCATCGTATTCCTCGCATTCATTGGACCGTCCACTACACCCGACTCCCTGCTGGAGATCGACAGCTCTGCTGCTTTCTGCCACCCCTCCCGCAAGTTCATCCTCCTCCTCCCCCACCTGTCATAAGGCTACCCTTCCCCGACAATCTTTAGGATCGGAGTTCGCGGTGCCACCTGGATGACTTCCACACTCTCATCACGGTAAGTGGCACGTGTCGGCTCCACGACGATCGCTGGATGATTGGGAGAGGAAGCAGGAGCTTGCTTAAGACTGGAACCCCCTGGGCATCACATATGTGACGAACTGTTTTCTGCAACCGCGCGGTTTTCTGCGCAAGGCTGCTTCAGGGGTTGAGTCGGGAGGCATGGGCGCCCTCGCTTTTCTTGTTTTTCGAAATCAAGGCCGGGGAAATCTTGTGACGATTGGTAGCTGGTCACGCCTTAGCGAGCGCGAAAGATAATTGTTGCCACAACTTCTTTCTTCTTCTGCTGCGGGGAATAAGAATTTTGGTGCCGCCGTCGCGCGGGAAAATCTTTTTGAATTTTTAACTGAGGTCGAGCCCCCGTGGGCTCTCGGAATTTGCTTCGTTCGAAATTTCTTTTTGCAATTAGGATTTAGATCAGGAATTTAGGCCCGTCTCAATTTTTGTTGCACATTGCTTGCGCACGCTTTGCCGCGACAGGATCTATGTTCTGACTTTTCCGCGCCTTAATCCTTATGTGTAACAGTAACTTTTGTTTTGGCGGGCATAATTGCAACTGTAATCCTCTTGTTCTTGATATCTTTTGTGGTGTCCCCGTGTGCGTCTACTTCTTCCTCTGTCCGAATTGGCCGGAACGCTTGCATGACTAGATCGATGTGTGGAGTGAGGCTACGCCCCCCACGCCACAGCCTGGCCATGCAGACATAGGCACTTCCTTCCTCCTCTTTCTTTGCCCAGTGAGGCACAACCCCGGGTATCTCGCGCAAGCATGCACGCTATAAATTTCGCAAGCGTGATTAACTCGCTCTCTAAAAAATTCTGGGAGTTAACGTGGTCGAGAGGATCGGCTAACAAGCGAGATTCAGAAGGTGAGTAGAGAGTTGGGCGATCCGACGAGCTGGTGCTGGGCATGCGGGGTTGACGTGGGGCCGCGACGGACTGTGGCACACTGGCGAACCTGGCTGGCATGCTCGGACTAAGCGGGGTGACAACTCTGTGTAGGTGCGAGGCAACGGACTGCCCGCATCGGGATGTTGGGGGGAGAGAGAGAGAGAGAGAGAGAGAGAGAGAGAGAGAGAGACGGGATGTGTTATGGTGATGCTCTCTTATATTCTTCTGAGTAATTTTGGTCCCGGCGCCAGTCGCCTTCAAGTTGTCCTCCTTTTTTATCGACATGTCTGATCTTTTCTTTGTTTGTCTCTAATTGATGCATGATTGCTTCTCCCAGCTTGCTCCTCCCTCTATATGGATGGGCCACATTGATGGTTAATCGCCTACGATCAAATTTTGTACGATCTTGATGCATGAACGATTATCATCTTCTTTTGTTAATGTATGCATAAAACTGGACGCATGCATGATGGGTATTTTTCTGTGTGTATTAAATAAGCATGCTAGATGATTAGATGTTTCTCTCGCGATAGGACTATCCACCTTCGGTTAACGGGCCAGTGCGTACGAGACGTGGGTCATAAGTCTTTGTCCATCGGAGCGAAGGGCAGGCCTTGTGCACGCACGTGTAAGCCCGACTGGAAAAACGTGGCCTACACGCGTGTCTGCAAAGCCTGTACTCGGTCCAAATTTTTGAATGACCAAGTTTCAGCCTCACCCCACAGCATGAATATTGAACTCCCTTTTCATATTACTGACCGCGAGTGTCTGAGGGATCAGGAATTCCGGGAGTATTGGGAGCACGTGTGTTTATCTGCACGACCAAGGGGAAAACTTCCCGAATTTCCATACCCGATGGGAAACGAACGTATCTGCGAGTGGGATATCGACCGACCTTGAGAGCGCATTCCCCACCACAATGAATTCCCCAGCTCATACACGTGCCACCTTGTCGCGGAACCAAGAGTAATTATTCTGGAAACCGACTTCCCTCCCTACCACCACATACTGCCCTTCCCTGGCGCGCAATCGCTCCGTATTTGCCCCAACCCTCGTGCTTGGAGTGCTTGCAAGACTGTGAGTACCGAGCCTTCGGGTTCATCCGGTGAACTCGCTCGGAGGAAGAACGACGGACGCACTGCCTTCGGCTAAGGCCAGCCGCGTTGGATTCTGAGACCAGTAACGTACAATGCCAACAGGTGATCGGCCAGCGCGATAGCCGTAGCGTTCCGACGGTGCACCAAATACAAGTCCGACCCAGGCGACGGAACCAACAGAGGCGGTAGCCCCATGCTCAGAAGCATAGAAGCAGACTTCGACCCGCGCCTATCCTCTTGCATTCCTATCCCTGAAACTTGCCACAGGAGGTCTCAGTTCCGACCTGGGACTCCACCCTTACTTTCCTAAAATCCTTGGCACACCCCCTTTTCGCACTTCCAGGCCCACTCACACTCCGATCAGGAAGTCTCGCATGAGGTTAGGCGTCACAGAGTCCCCAAGATGTTTTGGGTTGCTATGACGACTAAAGCTTTCAAGTTTGCCCGCAGGCGACCCTTTGGCATGAAGTTCTGGCCGCGTGGAGGAAAGCAAGGCCAAGGCCAACTATTGCACTACCATCAAAATTGAAGGAAGAAGTCCGGAGGCAACCCCCTGTTTGAAAAGGAGAGCATTCGGGGCTCAAACGGGGCCAGCTACACACTGGAAAGGATCAGCATCATTGCCAGAGGAGTGGAAAACCCTGCTAGGACCGGAGGGAATTGAAACTCCTGGAACTTGGTATGGGAGGGACAATGGGGAAATGGACTGGTTCTGCAGACTTGAAAGCTGGTTCAATGATGGATCAAGGCGTTGTTGGCTGGAGACCTATAAACAGGTCCTCCTAAGCTGGTCCGACGATGGATCAAGGCGGTGTTGGATGGAGACCTACAAACAAGTGCACCTAAATCTCCCTACCCTGGAGGACGTGGGAATGCACGTACAGTATGGTCTTGCAGGCTTAACTGAAGTAAGGGTCAGGTTGCAGGCACCTGCAGAGGAAGGTGTCTCAATGATCCCTTGCTTACTTGTGAACGAGCGCCCCCTGAAGTGCCTACGAATTGATTCGGCCACTTGGGGTTGGCAGGTGCAGGGAGCAATTATTATGGCGTTGGAAAGCTGAATTCAAGAGTTATTTTGCGGAGTTCCAGCTGACGGGTGCAGGGAGCAATCATTTCAGTGTTGGGAAGCTGAATTCGAGAAATATTTTGAGTTCAAGCTCCGCTCCCATCAAGGAGAAGATCGCAGACGGTTGGAATCAAGAGGTCACGGGACTGGACACACCCTTGGAGCTGGAATTGCCAGGGTCAGGAAGAATCACTAGAACAACTCTGGTGGGACTGTCCCAGATTGCGGTAGTGGTGGTGTTGGTGGGTATCGCATTGGATGAGATTTGCTGGTAAACCAGAGTTGGCAGGGCACCAATGGGTGATCCTGGAGGTGGTTCTGCAAGGTACCTGCAGCTCAGA